CAATTGGTCGTGTACCAATCACTATAAACGGTACGAGGATTCTCTAAAGCAACAGTAGCCACATGTCAGGTTTTACTAAAAAAGAAGCAATCATCCGCTTAGAGGCATTTCGCTTGCGCGCCATTTTAGTTGGTTTCGGCTCAACTCGATAGATCCACACGGTCGATTAGTGCTTTGTTTTGGAGTCATAGCAATAAATCCATGTTTCGTCATATGTTACTATGTCCCACATCAAATTTGACGCACTTTCTTTGAATCTGCTAAGTATGGCATTGCATAATTGACGCGGTCCGTTGTTAAGCCTCATAGTAGGGGAGCCCAAGAGGGGATTTCGGGATTTACTCGAGCGCGGCAGATTAACATAACGGGGCATCCTTGTACCCTGTTGAGTACCTCCAGCAAATATGAGCCCCATATACATCGCCGCCCGTCAGGGATAAGGAATTATATTAGTAAAAAAATATTGATCATTTGAAATTCTCGAGCGCGTCAGATTAAGATAGGGCGAGTTAAATACATGCTAAAAAGTGTATATTCCATTAATCTGACAATTTGTGAGTTACGTAAAGAAGTGGGAGGGTTACAAACTTGTAAGAAAAACGCCATTTCGACATTCTCGAGCATAGCTAAATTTTTTTTTTTATTTTGTAGGAAATAATTTAAGGATGACGAAAAACATATAATCTGACGATTTCCACAAGCCGAAGTAACAAAAATTCATCGATAAAGTTTAATGCGTGCAGCTGCGTGATGCATGCTATCCCCTCTGCGCGCCTTTATTTCCCTCTGACGATGAAATAAATAAAAGTATTCTACTTAATTGGTTCTTAATTCTGCGAACAAAAAAGTCACAAGGTGCCAGGTCGAGACTGTAAGCCTGTACTTTTTAAGTTAGAGTCATAAGAAAGTACTCAGGTCTTTGTTACAAATAAAAATTCACCCTATAGAGAGGTAAAATAGGGGTACGAAGAATCTGTAAGGGCAGGGATCGGAATCTAGAACAGCGCCGTTAATGAAATTATGATTAACAGAGATTGGCCAATACAAAAGATGAAGGAATTCATTTTGGCCCTCGTGACCAAAAACTGCATTTGAAAGCTGGTGTGCTATAAAATTGTTTTTAATGACTAGAACCCAATCTCAAATGTATCGGCGAGTTCCATCAAAAAAGAAGGAATTCGTAAACGTAATCCGTAAGATTTGAAAGATTGCCCATACTACATAACAAATCTTACAGATTATGTTTATGTAATACGTTTTTACTTTTGGTGCAACCTGCCATAAAAGTTTAAGTTGGTAATCACAACAAAAAAACACAGTAGGTACACTTTTGACTTCTGGAAATTTACAAACTATAAAATTCTGTATAATCATTTTTCAGCTGATCATTAGCCAAGGTTTTCTGTGCTGTCCATAGGCTTCAGAAAAGCTACACCATTGTAGTTTTCATAAAATCTTAATACACACATTGAATTATTTACTTCCTAAATACAACAGAGTTCTTTTACTGATTTCTTGAGGTACATAGAACATTACAAAAGAACACTTTTGGAAGAAAGAAATTCTTTTATATTTAGGGGCGTGAGTTTAAAACAGTTACAGGTTGATGTTTATAAAGGCATTATTCAGTTTAATTGCAATATGCATATCTCACCGGAGAAGAAGAAACACCATATGGAGCAGATGAATGATCGCAATCACCTAGCGAACTCTGCTCGAAAAACCCGTCATCGTCGCTTTCTACGCGTACACCCTCTACCGATGTCTGTGCCATTTCTACTGCGGTTTGAGCCACCTCAACTTCAGCCGAGCACCACCCACGGAATCCACCTGCGTGCGAGAATTTACAAAAAAAAATGGTGTTCTTATTGCGATCATTTGTATAAATTTAATATATATATATTAAATTTAACAGTAAAATAAGAAGAAATCTATTAATGAATACATGAAATAGTTTTGATCCTCATAACAGTTCAAAAGATTTTTTAAGTAATAAATGAAGCATAAATTGATTAATCAAACTCACAGCCTATATCTGAAGGATGTATGCTGTCATAAAAACCTGCGAAATTACTATCTGTGGTGTCAAAAGAATCACGTAGCTTGCGGCGGAGTTGTAGCACTAAACGGCAGCGTGTTTTTACTACGTTGTCACGCCATTTTGTAGGCACGTTAAACTCTGATATTTGGAGTAATTGCTGTCGATGTTCTGAAAATGAGCCATGGTGTTATCAGGTGTAAATTAATAGCACTTAATCACCGTGTCGCACAAAAGTTTCATTTTACTCACGTTTACTGATTTTGAAGGGAATCCTAACGTTTTCCAACACTTTGTTTTCGGCCAACTTTCGTTTCCGTTCATGGATATGTAAAGGCGGTGATGACGGGAGCGGTTGTGGGGTTTCGCATAATGGTGGCTCAGGTGAGAAAAGAATTGGTGATAAAAAGGGTGTTGTCGGCGAAGCAATTGGATCGGACGACATGGAAATTGCAGATGACGCCGCAGGCACCATAGTCGAAGCAGCAGCCTGAATGGCAGCTTGCAATTCTGAGAAGGATGGACGCCGCAGACTTGCCATTGAAGGTGCATCCGCCGTTGTTTCTTCCAATTCATCAACCAGGAAACCATTCTGTTTCAAGAAAATGCAACATAAGCAGTTTAAACATAATTTCGCGAAAATAGTACAATTTATCTATTGCTTAAAAACATGCGCAAAAAAATAAAAGTGAATGAGACTTTGCTTGTAGTTATTAATAATGAACATGTCTCACAGCAAGCGTTTGACTATCCATAATAGAATCCTATGCTTATATATGGGCAGCTGTGTAAAGCGGAAGAAACATAAAAGTATCTAAGGTCAGGGCATATGGGGGATGCATTAACACTTCTCAATTAAATTATCTCAATATTTGCTGAGTGGTTAAAGATGTGCGTGGTCTGGCATTGTTATGGTGAAAAACCAAAACTTTCTGATTTCTTGATCGATTCCGACCATTTTTTCTCTACTTGTTGATCGTGTACTATTACAAAATTGATGCACTATAGGGACACGGTCGCTTATCACTTACATATACCTATTTACATAAATCTGCGTGAGCTAAGCCTATATTTACATTTAATTCTATATTTATACAATTTATAACATCGTAGTCCGTAACAACTATCTATCAAATGCTGATTCACCTTGAGAAGAATGAGCAAGAAACTCAAGGGTTATTCTTAATACAAAGTAGTGAATAATTAATAATTTCTCAAGATTTAAAAATAATATGAAGTAACCTGATAGCTGAGCGGCCTTTCTCATTTTGATATTCAGACACGGTATAATAGCCTTGCCTGATATAACTTTCTTTTAACGAAACGTTTAAATTCATAAAATGGCAAATTTTTAATTTCAGCTGGGATCTTATTATAAAAGCGCACACATTGGCCCTTAAACGCTTTGTTAACTTTGCTTAGACAGGTTTTATGAGCAGCAAAATCGTTCTTATGTCTAGTGTTAATGTTATGGATTTCGCTCCTTTTTTGAAACGATTCTTTGTCTCTTGACATATATCAGATTTTCGTATATGTATTGTAATGTTAAAGTTAAAATATTAATTTCTCTAATTTTTTTCTCTGTGAGATATCATTGGTCTCAAAACATAAATACCGCGAATAGCTCGCTTCTGCAGCACGAAAATTGTGTTAATATCGATATATCACGCAGCCGAGTGCGTGATCCTATAACGAAATTCCACAGGTCATGAGTATTGCTAGAGTCTCATTAATTGTTGGCAATAGAAATTCGAATTGATGGTTTTGTCTGGCGATAAAAGCTCATAATGAATAATGTCCTTCCAAATCCACCATATACATAGCATCAATTTATTGCGAGTTAACCCGGGTTTCGTTAGTCTGTAAAGCTTGTTCGTCTTTTGACCATGATCTTTTCCGCACGTTCTTGTCGTACGTAATTCATTTTTCGTCGCTAATGATCAATCTTTTCAAAAACGGTTCGGTTTCATCACCTTTTAATAGAGAATCGTAAATGAGTGCACGATTCATTAGATTCTTTCAGTGAGCTCGTGTGGACCCAAGCAATGAGTTTTTTTATATATACAGCTTTTTTCAAATGAGTCAAAACTGTTTTGTGGTCAATTCCTAGTTATTTAGTCATATTATGAAAACGAATATGCCCGTCATCTTTGACATCAAAATTACCGGACTGCACACGCTTTAACCAGATTTATACTTCTCTTACTTATACAGCATTAGACTGTTTACGTTACAAATTTTTATTGCGACTTTTGGCGCATTTTTTCCTTTTTTCTAATAAAATGTATCGAATTTCTCCATAAGATTTTATCATTTTGGTGAACAGAAAACAATAGAAAAATGGCGGGACACCGTTTTCACTTTTCATTTTTCCTTTTTTACAACGTCATATATTTAATGGCATCAAAACCAGCCAGATACAAACAGCACAACAAAAGAGATTTTACTGCAACTTTTTATTTCTAACATACAAAAAACTTTCTCCACGACCTGATATTTATATAAAGCAATTGCGCAGGGAGAGCGGGATGCGGTCATCCAGCATTGCAGTACTGCAACTGGTTATAACTGAGAGCGGTTATCGTTTGTATAATTGTAATAAATTTAAAATTATTATTATGTAATGACCAGTTTTGGGAAGAAGTTTCTTATCACACGTCACATTTCAGACGCTTGGTGAACGAGAGAGCTAGGCTTGAAAATGTCCGACACGACGCTTTTTATAAATATAATAACAAACAATATAAATTCACGCCTATTTCTCAGAAGGGTAGGCAGAGACTATAGATTTCCACATGGTTACGATCTTTGCATATCTCTCTTGCTTCACTGACATCCATCAATCTTTTTATACAAGTTCGTCGGTTCCGGGTGCTTAAAATTTGGCCCTTTGACCTTTTCTATAGTTAGCATTTCCAAAGCTCCTTGTAGTCGTCGCTTTTCCGCCGTCAATCTCCAAGCTTCATACCACGTTGAGTACACCGGTTCCAGTCAGATCGTCGAAGTTAATCAGCGTCGGGCTGTCAATACTTAAATGGGTGACCGCCTGGGAACACTGTCTGATGGTGGCTTTTTGCTATTGCATTTTTATAATAATTAATAATAAAATGTTTATTTTCATATTATTATCTATTATTATCTAATCTTTTGTTTTAAAATCATACGTTATAATCGTCGTAAATAAAGAACCTATTTTTATATGACGATTTTGGTTATTGAGCTTGTAAGTGTGATGGCGATTTATATAGACTTAGAAATGGATTCGAATGGGAAATCAATTACAAAAAGATGTTGTTTGGAACTACGATCACAAACTAAATAGTCGCTTAAAAAATTAGTATATATAGAAAACATCGCCTCATATTGCTTCTTTAAAATGTAAAAGATTTCTCCCTACGCCGCGTAATTTTAGAGGTTAATGTGTTCAAATAAAGTTTCTAAAAATAGCAAATAATTATTCTGTTACACTCCCTGCATCACCATCACCATAAATACTTTCAATGTACACGTCGGTTCTACAGTTTTATTTTATGTATATATTTGTACAGTTACATTATAAAGTAACGTTAAAGTATCAGAATTACTTTTATATTCTTAAATTGGTGTTAAGGATTGTTGTTATTGTAATTCTTACAATTACGGAGATTATTCACGATTTCAAAAATTCTTAATTGCATAGCATTTTACACGAACGTTTGGAGATGAAAAAACTATTTGCGCGCTGGATTCCCAGAATACACGCCGATGCGCAAAAACAAACCAGGCTCAATATTTTTCAAGTTTCTTACAAAATGAAAGATCACGAGCTCTTTTTTCTGGGATACTGAAGGAGTAGTTATGATAGAATATCTTGACCATGGAACTACTGTTACGGGCTCTTTGTATGAAGAACAAGTAAAAAAGTTGCGTAACGAAATTCGAAATAAACGACGAGGCAAACTAGCAAAAAATATTTTGTTCCATCGAGATAAAGTCTCAGCTTGCATCAGAGTGCTATGGGTACAATTAAAGATGCTGGCTTCGAAATACTTGAGCATCCTCCATATTCACCCGAGTTTGCTTCTAGTGATTTCTATCTATTTTCAAGATTGAAGACGTATTTGAAAGGACAGAAATTCGAAAATGATGAAGCAGCAGTCGCTGCAATAGAAGAATTTTTAGGTGTTTAGAATGAAGAACTTGAAAGAAAGAAAGTTACCGTTAACATACTCATTTTCACTTTTTATTGAACGAAACTCATAACATTACATCTCATTTCACAGACATCACAGTATAGTAGAAGAGAGTATGATGTGACATGATGTTGGAGTTCTCATCAAATGGCCAGTCTATCATTCCCGATTGAGTGAAAATGTACTGATGAAAGCAGACCAAATTGGTGACATAAAAGCGAAATAAACACCCAAAAGGGCGAGTTTGTGTAAAACGTTTGATAGAGATACCAGTGTAGCATGGTGTATATAAAGCTCGTACCATATACAGATTTTGATCTCTGTTTATAAATAAACAAAAAAAAATATATATATATATATATATATCGTAATTGTGATACAAAAGCAACAAAATTATAAATGTAAGACTAGGAAAGATGACCTGTGTTGTATATATATAGCACCAGCTTCTGCCTGAAGCTTCATCTGCATGGGTATATAATGAATTCTAACATCTTTTAAAACGATCGATTGCGTCTTCAATCTTGATTGATATATTTGTCTTGATCTTAATTTCAATTGTTTCCTTGTCGATTGAGACCACGAAACTGCTCTAAATTTATATCCTCGTTTCGCTCTCGATCCCAATCTCGCTCTCAATTCTAATTCAGATTTCGCTTTTGATCCAGTCCTGACTCCACTCTCGATTACGACCCTAACCTCGCTAACTATTCTGATTCCGGTTCTAATCTCAATTCTAATTCCATTTCTACTATTATTGGTTCGGATGCTGGTAATGTTCTCTTTTTCAGTCCCGGCACTGCTTTTTTGTTTTGGTTCTTGTCTCGTTTTCGATTCTGAAATATACCTTTGATGAGACTATATTTGATTTTTGCATTTCAGCTGGGATAGTCTGATTCTACTACTATCTTTTTGTTAACTCCGAAATAAAATTGTAATTGGTTTTTAGTTACATGAATTCAATGACAAACTCTTTATTGCCACAATAATACTTGGAATTAGGCTGTTTCATTTTGCATTATCTTCCCCAATTAATATATATATATATATTATCTTTACCCGTTGCATAAACATGATTGTATGCTCAACCTAGTTTCAAATACTGAAATATCCGTGAAAAAAGTTAACAAATACTATGAAAATATTTAACCTGCAACCTCCAAGCAACATGGAAGTCAGAGAGACGCCCGACGCACTCGCCGGTGTAATCAGTGAGTGGCGCATCTCGGTCGGTGAGCGGACGAGGCTCCAACTCGAGGTAATGACGTGGTAAACGCGGCGGCGGCCGAAGTGGTTCCGCTTCACGCGTTGAACTCCCCTGATGTATCCAACTCGATGTTGTTGAATGCTTCTGCGTCGGCGGCGTAAATTGACGCTTTCCTCTTACGACGCGAACCCTCACCAACTTCGCCATGGGCACCCGATTCATCTTCCTCGCTACAAAAAAGAGAATAGCAATTCTTACGACAAGTTTGCACCAAAGTAAAAACGTAATTCATAAAAGTACTAAAGATTTGACAGATTATGTATGGACAACAACCTGTCGAATCTTACAGATTACGTTTACAAATTCCGCTTCAGGGACAGATCCAGAGCGGAGTTCATAATCCCCTGGGGTGAATTTTTGTCTTATTGAAGTGGAAACTTCTTTAGCATCGTTGTGATTCGAAACTTGATAAAACGAAAAAGCGACAGTAAACAGAGACAACCATATACATCTATAGAATCTAGCGTGCGAGAGAATGAGATAAAATGTGAGATGAAATAAAATGTCTGCGAGAGAGAGAAGTATGTGTGTTTGTTTATGTGCACCTGCTTATTGTATATGTTCAAATTGAAAACATGAACTTGAATAATAAAATGTAAAATATTTTTTGCATTTGGTACCAATATTATAATAAATATATTCTATAATTAATTTAGTTTTGATACTGTATCGCCTCACTTTTTCGCAGTTTAATCTTCTGAAGGTTTCACTTCTGATGTTTTTAATATATATAATTAAAAAATATGTTCTTATGTCAGTGTTTTTATTGTAACGAAATCGGGCATGACCTGATTGGATCACTACTACGTGACTCGCCTCTAACTCGAAAGCTAGATCCGCCCTTGTTACGTTTTTTTGGGTTCCGAGCCAAAATGGCAAAAAAAAAACCTTTATAGTTTCGTTATGCCCGTCCGTCCGTATATCACAGGCACTCAAAAACTAAAAGATGTATATTGATGAAATTCGGAGTATAGGTGACTTGTATAAGCCGCTACTTAGTTTCGTAATTAAATAACAAAAATAAATATTTCTAGGACACTCCATACATGTAACAGAAGCTGAAAATTTTTTTTTCAGGAATCTCAACGTGTGGAACATATTCCGAGAGCTCTTTTAAAAACACCTTAAGGTTCTTAATCAATTTTTCTGATTAGTTGAATAATTTCGGAAATAATGGCTCCGAAAGTAGCAGAAATGATGTCCCTCCTTCCCTCCTTTATTTGCTAAGCCGTAAGACCAAAAAATATAAAAAAAATTACGAAGGTAACGCTTAATAAATACTTTTGAATTATTGCTGAAACACTGCGCTTCTGAACAAAAAAACGTAATTGCTACGAACATAGCTTTTTTTGCTGGTGCACCTTAGTTTACATTAATTTAAGAGTAATAGTTGACATACCTACTTGTTTCTCTAGTTATGGGCGACTAAAGTGCTTACACCTGTTATGTGCGGGAAACATAGAAAAAAATGTAACAAAGTACTTTTTTCACCTGTAGTGCATTTCTTAGTAGTAACGGCTTCGAAACCCTATAGCGAGTATGGTCCGACATGCTTTTAGTCGGTTTTTACTTTTGGTGCAACCCGCCCCTTTAAAACTCAACTTGAGCTGTGATCTACACAAATTCACGTCTTACTTGTATAACACGCGAGATTGTCTCCAAGTATAGGTATATTACCCTCTCAAGCTTAGACATTGTACCTTTCTCAAGGAGTATTTTTGTTGTGACTTTTATAAAATTTAATTTAAAAAAATACGCTGTCATAATACATTAAATTAGTTAGTTTCTAATTGTGATTATATATATATATGTATATATTTCAAATAAACGTTTACACATAGTAATCTAATTGACCATTTCTGAACTTCTAATCAAAACCTACATTTAAAATGTTTAGTGCTAAAAAAATAATTAAAAAGCGTAAAATAATTAAAATATTTCGAAACATATTAAAAAAAAACAATACAAATACGTGCTATTTATTTTTATTCGTAAATATTGTAGGTAATTCCGTTAATCGTGCGAATACCAAAATAAAAAACGGGGACCTTATTACGTAAAAGCAGAAATCGATTACGATTCCGGAATCGATTTGAGAGTCGAAATTGTTGGGTCTAAAAAAAATGTTATGCTTTAATATTAATCAAAGTCAAAATACATTTCAGGGCAATTCCAACAAGCCCAAATACGGTAAGGATATATCGTTCCATTATGATATGTTAATTCCGGTGCCAACCGTCCGCCTCCATCATCAGACCCTGAAAGCCAATTATGGCCAAAGTGCACTTAGAAAATTATATTAAGAATACATACGACTAAGTTATGTTGTTCATTATGGAGTCCTAGTATTTACCTTCCGGCTCCATCATCAGACCCTGAAAATCACTCATTGTGAGAGTACATCTCAAAACAACTCTAACAAGCTCAAACACGACTAGGATATGTTATTCCGTTATAGAGTTCCTATATCTACCTTTTGGCTCCATCATCAAATTAATTAAATTATACCATATTATTGTACAGTCATCGGTCTTTGATAAGTGTGCAAAGTTTTAATTTAATCTAACGCTTTAAAGTCGCTTTAAATTGTGTATAAGAATAACATTTTTTTTATATCGAA